ACACACACACACATAATAAATAAATGTTTTTTAAAAAATTGTTTTTAGGACAGATACTATACTCACATGGCTCAAGAGTTTAAAGCACATATTGTGTATGATACCCAATGAGAAGCCCCTGGCCCACCTTGCCTCCCAGCTGCCCTTTCCTCCACATTGGAAGCATCCACCTTTCTGTTTCCTTTAAATTGTAAAATACTTAATACTCACTTACAAACATCATTTTAAAAATAAGACAATGTTTCATGGCAAAGGGGAGTCAATGGGAAGTTCCAGGTGGGGCTGTATCAAGGCGTTGGGAAAGCCTTTGAAACTGGTTACTACCAGTCAGGTCTCCCCGCCCCCCAAGGGACACTTCCTCCAGAGAGGCGGTGGGTGGGGCTTGAAATAGGTGGGCGTGGCCTTGAATAGATGGGCGGGGGGGGCTTGGACCAGCCCCTCCATTTGGGGGAGGGCCAAGGCAATCCTGGCTCAGCCCCACACCCCTTGACTCCCTGCAGGCTCCTACTATCTGACCACCACCTATGGGGCCCTGGAACACATCAAGAACTATGACAAGATCACGGTGACCCGACAGCTGAGTGTGGAAGTGCAGGACTCCATCCACCGCTGGGAGCGAAGGCGCACGCTCAACAAGGCCCGGGCCTCACGCTCTTCGGTGCAGGTGTGCTGGGCACAGCTGTGGGGAGGGAGTTCCACAAGGTACCCCTAGATATCAGGGGTCTAGTCAGGTAGACAAGCTGGCTACAGGAGGACAGAGGCGTTTGACCAACAGTCCTTCGCACCTATGGTGTCCCAGAGCCCTGCCGGGGCTGCAGAGGTGGAGATGCCAGCTGAGACCCTCGGCGTTGCCCCCGGGTCCCTGGGCAGATGCCTCTGGCCGAGGCTCCCCACACCTCTGTCAATACAGCTGTGGTTCAGGCCCCCAGGCCAGACTCCTGCTCCCCCTCCACCCCCCCATCCCACATGCCCCAGGTGCCCCAGATCCAGCCACCCACAGTCCTCCAAGCAAGCTGAGCTCAGCCTCGTGGCTCCTCAGCCTCCACCCAGGCTGGCCTCCGGCCCTTTCTTCTCCAGCAGCCCCTCTGAGGAGCCTTCTTGAGGTCCACATGCCCATCCCCCACAGGAGGGTAATGCGCCCCTCTTGTACGCTCTAGAAGCGAGGCGCCCTCTGCTCACATCTCAGGGGTGTGGAACACAGAAAGAATTGGGCCAGTGGGCCGGCAGCCAGCCCGTCTGGCACCCAGAGCACACCAGTCCTCAGCCCTACTCTGCTCTCCAGATGGCCCACCTACAACTTTAGAGCCCAAGCCCAGGAGACAGGAGACTGGCGTTGTGGCCCCGGCTCTGTTCTAGCCTCCTGCCTGACCGGGAGAGACCCCCACCCCACCCCCTCCCTGGGACTCAGTTTCTGTATCGGAGCAGGCCACCTGGGAACCTGAGGTTCAAGGCTGCCAAGCTATGACCCTCCCCCTCCTCTATCAGCAGTATCTTGAAATTGACTGTGTGGAGAGAAAAAAGCTCTGAGCTTCTGTTGGTTTCCATGTTGGGAATATTTATGCCCGCTTCCACTCAGATCCCTGAGTTTGGATCTGGAAGGAGATGCATGCTGATGGCTTTCCCAGGCTGGCGTGAGGGCTGGCACATGCCAGCTTGAGCCCACCACTGTTCTTTGGTCTCTTCCCACCTGTTCCTCATCACCTCTGCAGATGGGAGCTCTGGTCTGAGCCTGGCTTTCTTGCTTTTGCCCTGAGTTTTCCAGTGTTGAGCCAAGCAGAGCCTCGGTGAGCTAGACCCACAAACTTGGGGAGAAGAAAGCGGGGGAGAGGTGCCATTGGTGGGGTCTGCCCCTCCCAGCACTGTCTCTGCACCTCATCCCTTCAATCCCATCGTTGGCAGCGAGAGCCCAGAGCCCAGCAGTGGGCAGTGTAAGGGTCCCCAGCAATGCCTGCGGGGGCCAAGACGAGCCCAGACAGCCACCAAGACTCAGAGAAGGGAGCTCAGGTCTTCCCTCCTGGAAGAAAGGGCAGGAAGGAGCCTGAAGCTCTCCACATTCTGCAGCTCTTAGGCTCTCTACTCCCCCTGGTGGGTGCTGTCACCTTGGGGTAGAAGCTGCGCAGCCGTCCGCTTGCTGTTACCACTCAGTTCAACAGGGGGCAGCTCCGCACCTGCGCTCTCGGATGCCTCTGGGAGAGAAACCTTTTGGCCCCATCTGTCTTCACCTGCACCCCTCCTCTGTTTACAGATGAGGGGGCGGATGCTGGGAGATGTCACGGCGGCGTGCAGTCAGTGCGGGCTGATTCAAAGCCTGGAGGTCATGAGACTCAGGGGCCTCAGGTTAACTTTCCAGGGCTGGTAGAGATGATTAGGGTGATTAG